GTACTCGCTCATTATATACATTTTGCAAATTTTCTACACAGAAAAAGTTACATAGTGCTGCTTTAATACAGTTTGAGACAACCGTTTAATTGCAATAGGGACAAGCTGAGCATCTGTACTCGCATCACCACTTTGTCTTGAAAGCCAATAATATAATACAATAAACTGGAACTGTTATTGTTTAATATACTGTCTTTCTCCTGTTCACTTTCTGATTCGCCATTACTAAAAGAAACGGTTGTCGAAACACTACCATACTCATTGGGGTCAGTTAGGGTTTTTTTTATTTTTTAAAGAAATTAATTGACATTAAAGTGACAATCAAAACTATTAAGCAGCACAAGCATTAAAAAAAAGACATTTTTTGAGCACCAAATCAGCATATTAGACTAATTTCTGAAGGATCATGTGACACTGAAGACTGGAGTAATGGTTGCTGGAAATTCAGCTTTGCCATCACAAAAATAAATTGCATTTTAAAAGATATTAATAAAATGAGCAATTGTTTTAAATTGTAGTAATATTTCACAATATTACTAACTGTACTTTTATCAAATAAATGCACCCTTGGTGAGCATAAGAGACCTCTTTCAAAAACATAAAAATTTAATCAGTCACACTTTAATTTAAGGTCCAATTCTCGCTATTAACAAACATTAACTATGACTTTTGCCAGTTAGTAAGGTAGTCGTTAAATTAAGGTATTGGAGTAGGATTAGGGATGTAGAATATGGTAATACAGAATATGTGCTTTATAAACACTAATAAACAGCCAATATGTGACCCTGGACCCCAAAACCAGTCTTAAGTCGCTGGGGTAATGCACTGTATGGGTCAAAATTATAGATTTTTCTTATATGCCAAAAATAATTAGGATATTAAGTAAACATGTTCCATGAAGATATTATGTACATTTCCTATCGTAAATATATCAAAACTAAATTTTTTATTAGTAATATGCATCGCTAAGAACTTCATTTGGACAACTTTAAAGGTGATTTTCTCCTTTTTTTTTTTTGCACCCTCAGATTCCAGATTTTCAAATAGTTGTATCTCGGCCAAATATTGTCCTATCCTAACAAACCATACATCAATGAAAAACTTATTTATCCAGATTTCATGTGATGCATACATCTCAATTTTAAAAAATTTACCCTTATGACTGGTTTTGTGGTCCAGGGTCACATATGTTAATAATAGGCATGATAATAAGCAGCTAGTTAATATTGAGAGTTGGTCCCTATACTAAAGTGTTACCGAAAAATCTTACTGACCCTAAAATAAAAGCACTATATGGAACCGAACATTCTCATGAGTGAGGAGGACGTTCTGGACATGATTTGGATTACAAGGATACTGCGCACTTTATTTATTACGGTAAATGTTCTATTCCTGCCAAGTGATGTTTTCCTCTGTCATAATTTCCTGTGCGGAGAGCAGCTCTTCCTCAAGTTGCACAACAGAAGGGTTCTGAAACCACTGGATGACATCAGAACAGCCAAAAACTTTGTTCTATTACTGAGGGTCATCAGTAAATGACATCTGACTTACATCCTCCATTCAGTTTGTTTGTCCCGAACTGAATGTTCTGATTAGTCTAGAGCAGTGGTTCCCAACCCTGGTCCTGGAGGCACCGCAACACTGCACATTTTGCGTGTCTCCTTTCTCTGCCGCAGCAATTTCAGGTCTTGAAGTCTCTACTAATGAGCTGATGACCTGAATCAGGTGTGTTTGATTAAGGAGACATGCAAAACGTGCAGTTTTGGGGTGCCTCCAGGACCAGGGTTGGGAACCACTGGTCTAGACTTTAGAGCAGGGGGTGCCCAAACTCGGTCCTGGAGGGCCGGTGTCCTGCAGAGTTTAGCTCCAACTTGCCTCAACACACCTGCTGGTAAGTTTCTGGTATGCCTATAAGAGTTTGATTAGCTGGTTCAGGTGTGTTTAATTGGGGTTGGAGCTAAACTCTGCAGGACACTGGCCCTCCAGGACCGAGTTTGGGCACCCCTTCTCTACAGGATCACCTCATACTGGTCACCAAAACAGTTAACTATCTAAATCAGTGATGGGCAAACTTGGCCCTTCCAGGCCACTTTCCTTTTTTTTGATCCAACCCTGATAAAACTCTCCTGCCTGTAGCCTTCTAGTAGTCTTGAAGATAATGATTAGCTGGTTCAGGTGTGTTTGATTAGGGTTGGAGCTAATCTCTGAAGGAAAGTGGCCTGAAAGGGCCAAGTTTGCCCACCCCTGATCTAAATGCTGTTAAATACAAGTCAGAACCATTATTGTTGTACAAACTTGAGAGCTAGCAGACACCACAATGAGAAGAGAGAAGGATCGGAACCACAAAATGTCAAAAAAAATTCTCTAAAACCCCTTGCTTGTGAAATGTACTTCAAACCAAACTACAAATACGAATCCATCTCTGTAATCATTCTTCATTGTAAAATCCTAATATCCTATCTAATATAAATAACCTTTTCTGCATACAGAGAGTAATTGATGTTTCACGTAGCACTTTTAGAATCACTCAAACTATAAGGACACCTAGTGGACAAGGACTGAAAATACAGGTGTGCGACCAGCTCCTGAAAGAACTCATACAGCCTGCAGAAGTCTTTGGTGCTCTTGATCAGCTCTTCTGTGTGTTAGTGTGGAGCAGCAGCAGTTGTCCCGCTAGACCGTCCTGTACGCCGCCAGGAGGAAGTACGTACCTCATCCCATCGCTGGCTCTCTGGGGGTCCATCTCCTTGAGTTGACTGTTGCTCTGTGTTACCAACTCAAACTTCCACAGCTGGTAGCATAGACTCTTCCCCTGCTTAGCCAGAACAAACACCTCTTTAACGCCATCGGTCGGCCATGAGACAGAAGCCTCGTTCTGAGAGAGATGCAGCCAGGGAAGTGTGAGGTCAGGGGGGAAGTGTCTGCTGTCCACACACCCCTGCCTTAAGCCTAATAATACACCTGGATAAAGACAGAAATTATTAGACTGAAGTACTGTTTCGTCATGTAACTTTGTGATATAATTGTTGAGTCTCACCTGAGACGACTGCCCAGTGGGCTTTGTGGCCATTGCGTAAACAGGGCTCATGATTAAAATCCTCATCATATCTGTGCCGGAGCTGTCAGGAACACAAGTCTGTCTGAACAGATGTCATTCATTAAACAGTGCAATATGCGCATGACTATGAATATGTGTTTTTGTATCATGTTGTATTTGATTATGTTGACAAAGTTGTCAATTTAGAGGTCAGACATGTGGCCTTGCAAAAAAACAAAAAACACTCAGAAAACAGTAATAAAAAAGAAAGAGGCATAGAGGTCAAATAATAAAATTAAATAAATTTACAAATAACTTCAGAAAACAGTGATTCAAAAAAATAAATAAAATAAAAATAACTTGGTGGTAAAATAAAAATAAATAAAACTATTAAATAAACTTAATTTATTTTTTGGATCACTGTTTTCTGATATTATTTGTATGCATATATACACACACACAATATATATATATATATATATATATATA